GGTACACGACTAGATGAACAGAACATCACTACTTTATTTCCAAGTATTCCAAGACTGGAAACTCTTTAAAATCATTCTTTATTTTCTTCAGAGACATTATTGTTTCAAGCCATAGCTATGTTTTAAGACTGAAGTCCTCTTAGATAAAAGGAATGAGAGATGCTTGCTTCAAGAGCAGGCCTTCAGCACACACACATTTCAGCACACCACCTGGGGTCAGTCAGCAGATGCACTTTAAAAGCCCAGTGTTCAGAAAGAGAGGATGGTCTTGTGAATTATTTCAATGCATTCCATGATTTCATCCTCCTTGATCACAAGGGGTGGTGCCAGCCTGATGATATCCCCATGGGTAGGCTTGGCAAGAAGCCCGTTGTCCCGGAGTCGCAAACACACCTTCCAGGCATCGTAGTCTGCAAGGAAAGGGAGAAGAGAAGAAAAAATGACCCAAAGTGGCACACATTGCAGCACAGGGTACACAGAGGGCAGCTTGTAAAGTCCTTGCCATCTGGCAGTGAAAAAGATGAAGCGGTCAGCTCTGAGCATCTGAGCAGCCCCCCAGAATGTGCAGTGAACACACAAGGCTGCTGCAAAGCTGCCATCTGTCTGACAGGACCCAGGTTTCCTTCTAGCACACCAAGCTTTGCTCCTTCACAACTGAGGCCCTGACCAGGTGTAGCAGTAACTTTTAAGAAAAGAACCATGCCAGAGAGAGATCAGAGGACACCTGGACAGGACTACAGACAAGGTTGCATTTATGCCTGGATTTCAGTGCATCATGTGCCTGTCTTAGGAAATTACACCCCCCTCCTCCCCCCCAGCACTTTGTCACTTTGTGTGCCCAAGACACAAATCATTGTCTGCTCTGGCTTCTAAGCTGACTCCCGATGTAATTCAAGGTGTTAATCTGAGAAACTTGTTTTCACTCATTAGCTTTTTCCTTCCTTGTACCCTCTGGTATTCACTGTATTTTTCTAACTATCCTGAAGCAAAAAAAAACCTCCATAATCTGTCAGAAACTGGTTTGCAGATGTGGATAATTTTCTTCAGGTAAGGAGACAAAAGGGTATTTGCTGGGAGATAGATTCACTATCAGGTTTGGACATTATCACATCATACAATAATTCAAATAATCATTACAAAAAAAAAAGTTAAGATCTACTTAGTTAAAAAAAAAACCTATTTTTAATAGCACACAGTCACTCGAATACATTTTCAGTAGGTACTACAGTACTAGAGCTGAGATCTGAACCCAACATGATGCCTATAAGCCATCCCCCTGCTCCATTAAGATACTTTCAATTTCATTTATCTGAAATAGAGCAGATTTAGGTTAGATATTAGGAAAAAATTCTTCACCACGAAGGTAGGAAGGTGCTGGAGCAGGTTGCCCAGGGAGGTTGTGGAAGCCCCTCCCTAGAGATGTTCAAGGCCAGGTTGGATGAGGCTTGTGCAGCCTGGTCTGGTGGGAGGTGTCCCTACCCATGCATGGGGGTTGGAACTGGATGATCTTTAAGGTCCCTTCTAACCCAAACCATTCTGTGATTCCATGAAGTTAAAATACATTTTTCACACTGTGATTGTGCCGTTTTATTTCCTCACCTTTGGTTTCCCGAATTACAATTGCATTTAATAGCCCTTTTCCTCTTACAGCAGTTACAATATCAGATGGTGTCTTCATCAGCTCGTTTCTTAGTATGTTACCCATTTTTTCTGCATTTTTAGCCAGGTCTTCCTCTTCAATTACCTAAAGGGAAGTCAGATCTACAGTAAATGGAATGGCACTGCAGTCATGTACGGGCTGGACTAGATGACGAATGACATTGCACTTGCTGAGATACAAAAGCTGATACATCCAAAGTGGCACAGCAAAGGCTGCACATCCAAGCAGATTAGTATCCAGCCTTTATTCATTCGTGTTTACAGGAAGCAATAATCTCTTGGAAATTTTCTTCTAAAGCAACTGCTTCTCATTTGCCATTATTTACAAGCAAACAGTAAAGCTATGAATACTCTTGATCTGTCCGGGTCCAGATATTGGGCAATGATGAGGCTTTCTGAGTGACTTGCCTTACATGTAGTCAATTTTGCAGCTACAGAATAATTAAAATATAGACTCTGGACAAGACATTTCACTAACTTCTGTTTGAGCTTCTGTAGCACATACGTGTTACCAAGCTCACAAAGCCTCTGCAACATGGCATAGTAAAAAAAGCCAATTTAAAAATGTCTTTGTGAAGTTAGTGAAACTATTTTACCGATTTTTCATAAGTGCCTTGAAACTTCCCACATTGAAATTTTATTTTGTCATTTAAGACATTAATACCATAAAATACAGACAATTAGAACACATTTCCAGTGAAGACTTTAGACTTTCTTCCATGCAAAGAGTTAACCACAGTTACCAGTTTTCTATTCTTACTTAAAGCCAGATTTCTACTTGTAATTGTGTCACTTATTTAAGCAAAGATCATGTCAGTGTGACACCTTTTTTTCCCTTGGAATTCAAATCTCTGTCACGAGACACAAACCTCCAGTGCTGCCATTGCCACGCGGCAAGCCAATGGATTTCCTCCATAGGTAGATCCATGTTCACCAGGCTTAATGGTCAGCATAACTTCATCATCACAGAGCACTGCAGAGACCTGGAGTGGGAAGGTCAGCAAATTCCTTTACATACATATTTAGAACTGTAAACTTACATCTCTCTGAAGTAAACTTTTCCTCAGGGCTCAGCAAAGGATTAATTTCAGGCTATGGTGATAAATTACTTTAACATTCCCAGTTCTGTATAGAGGAGAGTGTATCTGCAAATTACCAAACAGCTTAATCCCTTAAATACCATGGGCTATACTGGTAACATGTAACATATGACTAGAGCTGAGGGGCATTTCTTCAAATTGAATGTTACTTCAAGAGTTTAAGCTTCAATACTCTGTTTAACAACTCAGAAATAGCTTCAATCAGACAAAATAGTCCAAGGCAGGTTGTAACTTCCAGCCTAATCAGCAGG